GAGTGCTGGGCTGGGGAGCCCTGCGCCAGGAGAAAGGGGGAAGAGAGCAGTCAGGATGGAAGCAGGAAGCCTGAGCGGAGAGAGGAAGGGCTTGGGGCAGTTCCCAGCCAGGCGAGGGTTCCTGTCTTTAAAGTCTAGCACGGGCGACTGCGAGTGGCATGGCGTGAGAACTGAGCTCGTGGTAATGAGCCCCTGCCTGTCTGAGGGCGGTGCTATTAGATGAGCTGTGTTTCCCGAATCCAGCCATGAGTCGCGTGATCAGTCATCTTTCAGGGACACAGGTGGCAGCCCCCCTGCTTGGAGCAGGGCACTGGGAGGTGTCCTTGGCCCCGCAGAGGGGGCTCCCCCCACGCTCTTCAGGAAGGATGAGTTCTTGTCCACACGTGTCTGCCCAGGTCCTCCACTGCCACATCACAGACCCACCTGCCTTCAGTGTTGAGAACGACTGTGCAGGCGACAGCCGTGTCTCCCCAGTTCAGACTGCCTCACTTTACAGGGGCGCTGCAGGAGGGGGTGCCACGGCCGAACTTCTGCTCCTTTCTTAGGTTCCTGACCATGCGGTGAGGTGAGAGTCCTGTGAGCACTTGGTGGTGGGCACCCTGCGGTGTTCTGGGCACACAGGGCTAGCCCTCCTCCTATGCACTCCCCGTGGTGTATAGCCAAGGGTTATCTGGTCCCAGTGTGACCCCACTGCCAGGCCACCACCAGGCCACATGTGCTCTGGGACGTTTCTAAGATCTCCGCAGCTGGGTGTTCACCAGGTCACCAATGTCTGCTCGGCAAGGCTGGGCTGGGGTGAGGGATGCGAAGGGAAATGGGTCCCTGTGTTAGAGGAGCTTGTCCTGGGAACAGCAGTTGGCTTAATGGTATAGTCGACCGCAGTTCGAGTCCTGGATTTGGTGGCTTAAACTCACACCAGGTGCGTGTGCATGTGTCCCAAGATCCTGAGAGGAGAATGGGAAGGGATTGGGGTGTGGCCATCCCCCCGGGGGGTGATTTTCCGCTTTCTGTTTCTCTCTCTCTTTCTGGTATCCCCACGTGCCCTATACCAAAAACCTCTCCAAAAAAGAAGAGCTTGTTCTGTGTCAGGGAGAAAGACCCATCGGCAAACTGATCGCATAAAGTGGCAAATGACGAACGCTGTGAGGTGTGCAGAGAAGGTGAGGGAGGGACGGACACTGGCCCAGCCGCCACTGAAGAGTGGGGTGGAACCTGGTGTGGGCCAAGCTTCCACAGACGCAGTGGCAGGTGGGGCAGGGGAGCAGCAGGGACGAAGGGGCCTCACCTGACCGTGCCACGTGGTGCAGGTGGGAGCTGAGGGACAGGATGGAGTCCGGCCAAGATGGCCTGCTGCCCAAGGACTCTCAGCGCCTTCCAGAAAATGGGAACCAAAGTGTTAAATAGCCCGGTGAGGGAGAGGCCTTCTAGGGGTCAAGTCTGCCATGCAGCCACGTCCCTCATGTCCTCTGAGCTACTCGTGAGGATTTCTGGCAGGTCAGAGGAAGCTTAGTGTAGCACCCGAAGAAGGCAGTGAGAAGCTGGGACATGTGTGGGCGAGTGCGTGCACGTGTGTCTATGTGTGTGTGTTTAAGCCCTTGCTAAATTCTTCTGAGTCCTTGGTGTGAGTATGATTGTGTAATAGGGTGTTCCTAGGAGGGTCAGAGCATTTCTAGGCCAGTGTCCCACCCGATGACAAGGTGGCTTTGTGAGTCATGGAGGATGCTGCAACGCAGAAAGTGCAGGGTGTGAACCTCTGTTTCCGACTCCCTGCCGGTGTGTGTCCTAGGCCTATGGATACTTGGCAATGGCACCTTCAGGAGAAAAGCCTAGAACCATGTGTCTTTGGGTGGCATAGGGTCTGGGGAGTCAGAGTCTTTGAAACCTGGAAGGGTTTCAGAGCCACGAAGGCAGACCCCTGGGGTTACTTCAAATCGTCCTGCAAAGGCGAGTGTCAGACCTGTGCAGGCGGCCTGTTGTGCATCGCACAAACGCGTTTCCATGCTTTCCCGAGGTGGGAAGCAGAGGTTTGGGTCAGGCTGCTAGTGTCAGAGCGACTTGGGAGAAGTTGTCCAGGACTCCAGATAAACCTTTCCCATGATTTTCCAGACAAATATTGGTGTGAGTGTGGGAGGTTGTGAATTTCTTTATTAAAGTTAATCTTCCTTGTATTTAACCCTAGAAAAGATAGGCACATTTAAGTTTGCTGAGTCAGAATCTTTGCATTTTTGCTTCACTCATGCTGGAGCATGCAGGTGACGGTGAGCAAGTGTGCATTGCACGCCCACGGTCTGGTCACGCTGCAGTCTCCTTTCCGTAGTTCTCTGGCTGCCAGTCTTGGGCACTTGTGTGTCCAACATGTTGCTGGCTGATTGCGTCAGGAATTCAGACTGTGGTCACCCTGTGGGATCCAGCTTCTCTCTCTCTCTCTCTTTTTTTTTTTTGGTAGGTTTTGGCTCTAGGGTACGTGTGCTCACCAGAAAGACAGAGTCAGAGACAGAAAGCGCGAGAAATCACCCCTCAAGAGGATGGCTATGCCACAATCCCTTCTCCTCCATTCTCTTGGGAGGAGAGAGGGATCTTGGGCACGTACACACATGCGCCCAGTGTGGGTTTAAGCCACCAGGTCCAGGACTCACACTGTAGTCGACTACATGGGAGTCCAGCAACATAGCCACTAGGCAAGTGCTGGTCCCAGGACCCAGCTTCTCTTGAGCAGCACTTTCTAACTGTGCCCTGGAACCATCCCTGAGTCTGCATCTCGTGGTGATGACTGCATTCAGATCTGACCCGTAGAGGTCTTGAAAAGCAGGCGTGAGTCTAGAAGAAAGGACTCTGGCGGAGTCCAGCGACATAGCCATTACGCTAACTGCTGGTTCCCGACCCAGCTTCTCTTGAGCAGCACTTTCTAACTGTGCCCTGGAACCATCCCTGAGTCTGCATCTCGTGGTGATGACTGCATTCAGATCTGACCCGTAGAGGTCTTGAAAAGCAGGCGTGAGTCTAGAAGAAAGGACTCTGGCGAGTGGGCCAGGAGGACTTCATAATGAAAATGGAAGGGCCTAAGATATTTCGCACAGAGAAGACACGTTGTGTTGCTACTTCCCCTTGGCACAGCGTGCTGGAATAAAAACTCTTCAAACATTCGAAGGGCAGATGAAAGCGTGACATCATCTCTGCACTGCGTGGTCACCCAGAAGGGCAGGCTCAGTGGCACCTGCGGGCTGGGTGGACTTGTCCTCGTGGAGTCAGCACAGCTGCTGGAAAGGAGTGAGCTGGTGAGGAAGGTTGTCCGTTCTGTTTGAGATCCTTTTCTATTTGAGTTTCCCATTGTATTTTGCTCCTCGTGAGGCAGGCGCACTGGCCGAGCGTCGCCCTGCCTGATGCTGGCCATCTTTGACTGAAGGTGACCAGGCAGCTCTTCCCCCTGCGCCTGGGCCGCCTTTCCGACCCTGCTGAGTAGGGAGGGGGGAGGGGAGAACCTGGAGGTGCTGCCATCTCTGGAGCTTTGTAAAACGTGCGGCTCCTTCCCACATGAGAGCCAGTAGGGCTGGCAGAGCACAGGAGCCATCAAACATCAGTGTGACCACACGGCAGCAGTGCTGTCGACTTTGAGCTGCTGAGCAGTTTGCCCTGGTTGGTCTCACAGCTCAGGAGTGTGGAGCTGGGACTGGAACCGAGTAGGTGGGCAGCTCTGGGCTGCACTTTGTCCTGTGCCCCTTTCTCTTTTTCTAAAGAATTATTAAGAATTATTTATCATCATCATTGTTATTTGTTTAATTTGAACAGAGAGCAAGAGAGAGAGAGGGAAAGTGAGAAAGCAGGCTGCTAGGTCTGGGACTTGAACCATAGTTGACCATGTGGGAGCCCAGTGCCTCAACTACCACGCCACACGCCAGCCCCCTGTTCTGTTCCACTTTCTTAAACCAGGCCTCAGCTTCTCCTCATGAGAACTGCCTGTCATATATGGAAAACTCGACTGTGGAGAATAGTCCTGGTGATTGGAAATCTGTAGGCCCTGTAGTGCTTGCTCCATGTTGGAGTGTGCCTGTGTCTCTAGCGCTGTTGCTGGTGCGTGGACACAGGAGACGTTCAAGTTCATATTTACAATGGGTAGCTCTCTCACCACCTGAAGCACAGAGAGAATCAAGAGCTTGCTCAGGGCTGAGAAGCAAAGGTAGGTGGAGTTTCTTTGCCTTGTGATTCAGAGCTGAGTCTCTGGGCCCGCACCATTGCTCAGCCTCACCTGGGGCTGGTGGGATGCTGGCGGCCCTGTGGCCCAGCCCTGTGGGTAGAAGCTGTGTGTGGAACAAGCTCCACGGTGGTTCTCAGGCATGTTCAAGCTCAGGATGCACTGGCCAGCTCTGCGCGGCCAGGTGTGTCAACCTCTTTCTTGGGATTCATGCACACTACATGTTTCAGTCTTGGCCCTCGGGGATGCAGTGGGGGAAAGGATGGAACTTGAAGTTAAACCAACACATGACTTTTATGACTGCTCTTTGTGGTCACTCATTTAGGACAACTAGTTTCAGGAGCTGGAGAGGCCCTGCATCTCTGGGCTTCTTCATGTTCTACCATGCTCTGCGGAGGGATCCCACAACGTTGGAGAAGGCTGGCCCTGCGGGAGGGAGTCTGACCTCTGCTACTCCTGAGAGCCGAGAGCCTGAGTGGGGGCTGAGGGGTCAGAGGAAGGTGCTGGCTGTCCCAGGGCTGCGGATCGACTGACACCAGCTTGGAGCAGGCTGGTCCCTCGGGGAGTGGAGAAGGCCATGCCACCTGGACTGAACACAGTAGCAGGGCGGGTGGGTGGTCCCAGGGAGGGAATGTCCTGCCTACGTCTTGGCTCCCTAGTGAGACCAGTGGGCTGGGAAGTTGACGTTGTTGCTTCATTGGGCCGGCGGGCGTGCTCATGGGTGTGGGTGCATTCTGCAGGCTCTGCTCACCACCCTGTGGGGACGGGCAGCACAGCTGCTGCAAGTGGACTTGTGGAGCATCGGGAGGCCGCGTGGGGTGGGAGGAGGCGCCCCGTGGGCGCCGGCTGCGAGCACGAGGTGCAGCCCGGGTGCTGACGCCCTGCCCTTCGCCCCCAGGTCGGCCTCCGCCAGCTGGACATGTCCCTGCTCTGCCAGCTCTACAGCCTGCACGAGTCCATCCAGGAGTACAAGGGCGCGTGCCAGGCCGCCAGCCCCGGCGGCACCTACACCTCAGAGAATGGCTTCTTCGACGAGGAGGAGGAGTATTTCCCGGAGCAGAACTCCCTCCACGACGGCAGGGACAGAGGTCCTCCGCGGGACTTGGCCCCGTCCTCACTCTCCAGCAGCGACTGGATTCTGGAGTCCATCTAGAGGCCTCAGGACCCTGTCGGGGACCCCTTCCTCCCGGACGTGCCGTCCGCCCTCTACTGTGGGCCATCCTCGGGCACCTGGAATGGCCGCCACCCTAGACTTGTAGCCAAGGGTCCCCAGATGCCTGGAGCGTGGTCTGCCTCGAGGGCGTTTCTGCTTAGGTGACCTAGAGTGCTTGGCAACACCCTGGACCCCCTGAGGTCGAGACACTCCTGCTGGCGACTCAGGAGAGTGGAGGGGGGGTCCCCGGAGGAGCCTGGTGGCCGTCTCCTGAGAGGGGGTCTAGCTAGTTCCTTCCTGTGGACACGGACTCTCCTGGCTGCAGCGCTGCTGCTCAGCTTGCCACGTATTAAAGCCACGGTCTCCCGGTGGCCCTCCCTCAGAGTGGTCTGCCGCTTTTCTTGCTCTCCTTGGCCTTTAAGCCTCACGATTCTTCTTTATTTATTTGTGAGCCAAGTTGCCAACTGCCAGGGGTCGGCCCTAGCGCTTCCCGCAGGAGAGTAGGGCTTCCTGGTCTCTCCTGCCCCCTGCTGGCTCTCGGCCTACCCGCGGAGCGTGCCATCCTTTGCCCATCGGGGAGGGGGCAAGAAGACCACACGGAGATGGGCTGAGTGGGAAAACGCCCTGCGCTGAGACGGCACATTCTGAACGCGGACGAGTGCTAGGAAGCAGGGCCCTCTCCGCCCCAGCCGGGATCGCCATAAGCCTTAATATATTCACTAAAATACTCTGGGAACGTCACACCTCGTTCGTAAAGATGAGAATAAAAAGCTAACCTGTCTGGTGTTGTGTATCACTTTGTTCTGAATTCACGGTCGTCAGCTTTCCTGATTTGAGCACGTTGGGTCCAATCAAATACCAGAGGAGACTCGGTTTGTTTTGACACCATTAAAGGAACTGGAGAAAAGCTGTATTTCTCTGCTGAGCGTAAGGAATCATTTCCTCAGTAGTAGACCATTTACTGCTAGGTTTTGGCACTGTTCACCTTCAAATCCGCCGGCCCCCTCGTTCCCCCTTTGGGGTGCGGTAACTGCTCACGGGTGCCCCTCTGGTTAGAGAAACCAGTTGGCAGCCTGTTAGGCATGTCCTGGCAGGAACTGGGGTGAAGGACATTGCTGTTCACTTCCTCCGTTATGTGGTGAGGGATGGTGGCAGTAAGTGCCTTTAGCATGTGACATAACTGGTGGGGACAAGGACATTGAAAGCAGTAAGACCAGATTGAGGCTGGGCTGTCACTGTTAGAGGTAGAGGGAGATTTGACCCACAGGGGGACAGAGGTCAGAGGAATATACTTGCTGCTGGGAGAAGCAGGGGGTCTCCCCTGGAGCCTCCCAGCGACTGTGGACCTGCCGACTTGATTTTGGTTTGGAATTGTGAGAACATGTCATTTCAAGCCACCCAGTGTGTGGCCATTTGTTACAGCAGCAGCAGGGACCTCATAGATTTCTGGGCCCCTTCACACTCCCCCAGCTCGCCACTGTGGTTGCAGGACAGCTTCGTTCACCCTCCTGCCCTGACGCACTGTGCTCGCCCTGCACGAGCAGAAGAGGCCTGCGGGGCAGGGAGACAGCTGCAGCGGCCGGCACCTTCCAGGGTTATTGTGGATGGAGATTAAGCTAGGTGGTAGCTAGTTAGTAACTTAAACTTTCAACTTTTGCATAGTGCCAAATAAATGTGTCAATATTTGTTAAATAGTGGGTTGTCGGGAAAGTCAGGATGCATCTTTGCATAGAAAAACAGAAAAAGGCATGACTTCCCAACCGCCTCAGAAGCCAGCCTCACTTGGGGAGCGGAGGCTCCTGCCATGGTGGTGCACTTGCTCTGCGCATTCTTCAGCCGCCAGAGGACGTTTTGCATCTAGCCTGGGGTTGAGGACTTGGCCCGTCAGCATGTGTCCCAGTCCCGGGAGGAAGCCGTGGCTCGAGCTGTCAGACACGAGAAAGACGTGTCCCAGCCTGTGAGGCTCGCTCCCAGCTGCTCACCGGGACAGGTGCCCAGCTATGCCCCGTCCCTTCCTCAGCGTCTGTCCCGGAGACAAAGGCTCGGGGCTGGACTCTGGTTCTGGGCCCTCTGATCTTCCCCATATTGAAGAACAGGAAGTCATCTTCTTAAAGGATGGGCGCTAGGCCCTTCGCTGGAGGAGCGGAGACCACGGTCGACCACGTGGACCCCTCTGCCACTCTCCACTGCGGTGACCTGGAGCAAATCCACTGCCATTGACGCCATGACTTCAAAAACATCTTCCTGCTTTTCTGGTACAGCTTGTCTTGCCATAAATACCTAAATACCCTTTCTTTGGCTCACATAGACCCTGATGTTTTCTTCCCAATTTCGTTCAAAGGCTTCCAACACTGGGAGACGCCTTTAACAAGCCTACTTGTGGCTTCCCGTGTGCCGCCTTACTCGGCTGCGCTCATAAACTGGACTCCTTGTCACCTCTCGTCCTTGGCTGTGTGGAAAGCTCACGAGCCAGCAGTGGACTGCCAAAGCCCAACCCGACATGCCATGTGGGGTGCCTGATCTGTCACCGACCACAAGGCTGGTTTCCAGGGTGGCTGGAGTGTATGTGCTCTTCGGTGAAGACTGGGTTAATTTCCAGGCCGTCAAGTGGCATTTCGTATAAATACTTTTTTACTGTTAGGCCGTGTCTCACTTTGGGGGGAGGAGTGGTGTGGAAAACACCCAGGCTCCAAGGTTCCAAGCACCTCGCTAACTTCCCAGCAAAACCAAGGGGCGAGCCTGCCTGACCTCAGGAGTCAGATTTAAAGCCGACTTTAGACGTAGGGCAAAATGAGCACCTGTAAAATCTAGCTGGCCCAGATACAGGTTTTGACTCTATAATTGACCTGTCCATATCTTTGGAACTTCTCATAAAAAAGTGGTAAACTTTTCCGGCTGACAGCGTGGGCCGCGGGTGAACTCCCAGGCTGGGCTGGAGAGGGCGGGCTGTTCGCCTCTGCCTGGCCGGCCACCCAAGGCAGCTTGGAGCCGTGCCCTTTCCTCACCCCGTAGAGTGAAGTGATGACACGGGGTGCAGCCTCGGTCAGAGTGGGTAGGATGGGCCCCCTTTGCACTGTGAGTCGGGGCCGTCCTGCACACGGTCCTCAGCCCCAAGCTCCTTGCCATGCAGGTGCCTCACCAATGCCACAGAAAGGGGCTCAGACCTGTGGTTCTTTTTTTTTTTTCCTTTCCATTTTAAAATGTTAACGGATACTTTTGTGATCGACAAAGGGTGGCGATGTCTTCAGTCTGTCTGTACATGAGTGACTTCACCCTCACTTACCTGAGGTAACACAGGGATCTGTAAAGGACCATCAATGTTGGGACATTTCTCTCCAACACGGTTTCATTTTTATTAAGAATTATTTTATTTAACTTTATTTTAATTTGACCAGAGAGGGAGGGAGGAAGGGGGAGAGAGAAGAGTGAGAAAGCAGGCTGCCGGGTCAGGGACTTGAACCACAGTTGGCCATATGGGAGTCCAGCGCCCTTAACCACCAAGCCACCCGCCAGCCTTGGCCCCCAGCACTTAGAAAACTGTTTGTTCTTCATTTATCGTAGAGGGTGTGAGAGAATGCCAAGTCTGACAACCGGGAGCACTCAGGAAAGTGGGGGACAGTGTGTGGCACTGGGACCCTGCTGTAGCCCCTGGGCTGTCTGCTCGGGGAGCAGAGGCGACCTGACCCAGCTGGAGCAGACAGCCCAGGGATTGCAGTGTGGACAAGAACATTTTTGGGGACAAAATTAGGACCCCAAACAGAGGCCATACAGCTGAGGAAACCAAAGATGTTCCTCAGGAGACAAGTGACCCCTGTGATGAGAAGGGACTGAGAAGTCGGGAGGGCTGCAGGAGGGGGTGAGGCCGCAGGGCCGCAGGCAGGCAAGGCTGGCTCAGGCCGTCAGGACTTCTAGGCAGGAGACAGTAAGGAGGGACCAGCAGATGGTGTAATGGTTACGTCACTGGACGCCACGTAATCGACTGTGGTTCGAGTCCTGGACCTTGCAGCTTAAAACTCATGCCAGGCGTGTGTGTGTGCATGCCCAAAATTCTGACAGGAGAATGGAGAAGGGATTGTGGCATGGCCATTCCCCCAGGGGGTGATTTCTCACTTTCTGTCTCTCTGACTCTCTAGTGAGCACACACATCTTATCGTTAAAAACCTCTCAAAACAAACAAACAAACTTTTGCAGTTAAGGCTATAATTTCTTTCTGAGCCACTGTACTTGATGAGCTGAAATATGTCATGCTTTCAAAATCTTTGCTAGTTTCCAACTTCAGTTTCTTCTCTGACCCGTGATATTATCTATTATTCATTATAAGTTATCGAGTTTTCCTTTGGATGTTTATTTCTTGATCAATTCTACTGTGGTCAGGAAACATACTTCTATTATTTTAATTTTTCACATTTGCTGTCTCTTACGTTATGGCTCAGCAAATGGCCACTTTTGTTAAATTTTCTGGTTATACTCGAAAATAATGTGTATTCTACTGTTTAGATGTAGTACTTGGTGTATCTTAATTATGCAAATTTACTTTTATGGTTCATATTACTATATCTATTGATTTTGTGTGTGTGTGTGTGTGTATATATATATATATATATATATA